ATGAGGTGAGAGACTCACTTAGAAAAGAGCTGGGAATGGTTAATATCTCAAAGGAAAGCCTCTGGCAGTTGTACGGACAGGCTGATTCTGGGCACACAGTTTTCAAATCTTTCCAATAAGTGACTTCCCTAAAGTCACAATGGAAGTGTTTGTTTAAAATCGAGATTAGAGGCTGGATAGCTCTGTTGTCTGCTTTGGTTTCCAGCTCGTTCTCCCTCCGCGTACAAATACTGTGGATGAGTCAAGCAGATGGGCTCATGCAAGAAGAATCCTGCTTTCTGCTCCTCCTCCTTGAAAATAATGTTCCCTGGGCAGATGAAGCTGGCTAGTAGAGATGAGGAGTTAAAAATCTCTGTTTTCACTACATTAGAGATTGGCACTGGCAGTCATGCAGCTAGCTCTGAACAAAACCTTACCGCAAGTTCAGCCAGTGCCTCTGCTGTTCAAGGAGAGCCTTGGTAGATGGATGTGTCTGTCTGTTGAGGATTGTAGTCTTGCTTACGGTCTTTCATGGTCTTCATATGTTTTTCTTCACTTTCTGCTGTAAGCTTATAGGTCAGAAAATGTACTGGTCTTTTGTGTGTGTGTGTTTGTGTGTGTTATGTAAAGTACAAGGTAAAAATGTGGGCACCAGAAATGTGAATAATAATTGCAGGTGGTGAACCTTCTTCCAGTGTTGCTGCTGTGTTTCTGAAAGGGCCCTGGCATAACCAATACCCGAGAGCTTAATCATTTCTCATGTTACAGTAGTTAGCTTAAAACACTAATTATGCACAAAATTGAAGTTAGAAATAGCAGGTTCTAATCCAAGATAGATGGAGGCTGTGGACAAAATTGCATTAAAGCACTCTATTATGCATTGAGATAAATAGATAAATGAGAGATTCATATTAATGGCTGGATACTGCTTGACGCTTGCCTAGCTCACATGCTCTTCAGTGTCACAGGTACGCAAATCATTCCCGCTTACTTAAGAAGATGGTAGGTCCATAATGCTCCAGTTGAGCCTGGGCAGATACCGCATAAATGCACAGAGGAGCAAGGGTGGCTTGGAAATTTCAGGATGAGGCTGTCCGCCCCCAAGCCAGCCACTTCTGTAATTCAGGCCTGGGCTGACCTGTATCTCTGTCCCTGGTCAGTGGGATTAGGAGATGAGCCAGGTGGAGGTCACTGGCCCTGTCTTCTTCTGTGGCCGCTCCTCCTGCAGCGCTGGTGGGGAGAGGACAGGGGGTCGAAGCCATGGCAGCAGCTCTGCTCTCCTGGCAAATCCCTCTGCCTGGAGAGAAGCTGCCAATAGCTAGTCAAAGTAGAGCCTATTGTTATTTTGAGCTACCAGAGCTCTGCAAAATATCCCTAATAGGCTAACGGAGCAGTCATTATTGGTTTTTTTCATTCCCGCTCAGTATCAAACTCTGTCATTTTCCTACACGTATGCTACCCAGGGAAGTTCCTGCACCTTTGATCTAACTTATCCAAATTGTTATGCGGTTGTGTAAGTTTTGGCATAGTCCCATTGAAGTGACTGCTATTCTCCACATCCTAGAGGCTGCCTGTATGTAAAAGCTGCTTGCTAAATCAGGGGCATTTTATATAATGTTCGCTGTCTTCCAGAAGTAACAGTTCCCTGTTTTCCTTTCCTCAGCTTCTCCAAATACTTTGTTTTCTTAATGTATTTTCACAGCTCTAGACCAGTGGGATCTCTAATCTGTGCTTGGGGAGCACCAGGGCATGGAGGATTCGCTCAAAAGCAGCAAACCCAGCACTGCTTTTGCTCTTTGAAGAATTTGGTTTGGGGTTGTGCACAGGGGGGGGCACTCACACAACTTCCCTGGAAGAGCTCACCAGCGCATTCATGCAGGGCAGATGTGAAGTCAGGGTTGGTTTCCAGTTTTCTGTTTCAATCACTGATATGGACACCATATTCCAAAATTATTTCAGCTCAGATGACATCCCATGCCCTGGGGCACCTCGCTCCCAGGCTAAGGACAGCTCATGAGAGCATCCTAGCAGCAGGCCTTGCTTTTCTTTGACAAGCTCTGCAGAGCTCCCCTCGCTATTGGTCTCAGCTTTCTCGTGCTGAGATCCCTAGCTGTTAACTTGACCATCACCCTCAGCTGAGCCGTTGGCCAGGAGCTCAGCCACGTTTCCAGGTTGACCGGTGCCAAGGGGAGACTCACCAGCAGCCCCCCCGAAGCCGGTCTCTTACTGCTGTCTTACCTAAACACTTTTTCTCAGTGCTAAATTCCCTGGAATATTAGTTTCCCTTTCTCAGCCAAATGCTGCACACCTGCAAATCCATACATTTCCTCCCACCCTTTGTGCTCCCGCGCCGCCCGTCCTCCCGCCCTGCTGCTGCTGCAGCACAGGCCATCAGATCGCTAATCGTGGTTCCTTTCGCCTCACTCCCCGAGCTGGTTCCCTTACAAAGGGAAAGGAAAGTGGGAGCTGCCTAAATAGATTTATCATCTCCAGCCTTGCACGTCAACCATGGAAGGACTTTTCCCGAGATCTGTATTTGTGCTGTGTTACCCTGGGGAAACTGTTAAAATGTAATGTGTATATTACTGTGTTGTAATAAATAGCATGAACTGCTCTCCCTGTCCCCGTGACTTTTTGATTTTCTTCTTAGGAAGGAAATAGTAGAAATATGCTGCCCTTGTTACTTTCTGTTATACTGTGATAGTTAGTAAAGGATTTTGTGCCAAATTTATACTCAGTGAATTTTCCCAGAAATTTGCAGAGCTATAGTAGAATTTAATTTGGCATCGTGGAGTCAGTATTGTTCCCAGCGATGTCTTCAGCCTCAACCTCAACCTTCCCTTGTCTTACTGGGAGAAAAATGAGGCCCATGTTTTTAGTATTTTTCACAGAGAGTGCTAGAGGCATCATAACTAGCTAGTGCCAGAGGCGCTGCGCCGGTGCGGGAGACGGTCCTGGCGAGGAAGTGGGGTGGCAGTCTGGGCCAGGGGCGTTTAGGAAATATTTACCCTAAAGGCTAAGCTTTCCAAGAGGTGAGGAGGATTTTAGCAGCTGCATTAGCATCGATGGCATGTTGAATGCCTTTGATTTGCTTTTAATATTGTGCGATGGAATAATTAGGTGGTACTCAGGATATGAGGGCCAGAACAAATGGGTTGAATGAAAGCTTAATAGAAATTCTCTGTGCTCACATGGTGAGCACAGAATTGCTTGACCACATAAATCTAAATGTCAAATCTGGAATGTTTTACCAAATGGAAATGTGATGTTCTATTTTCATGTTGTCCAAACCTGAAAAGAAGCATACTTGATTAACGAAGAATAAAATTCTGCATAAGTTCTTTTTTTTAACATCCTATTAAAAGCAGTCCCAAGATGCCACCAACTTTTTCAAAAGTGAGAAAATGTCATTTATTAATTATTCTGAGAGCTAAAAGGCATATGGGCATTTATAAGCCGTAATCAAAGAGACAACAATTGAAAAGCTTGTTTGGCAGCCCTGAGTCCATACACATTTGGTAGAGCACTATTGAATAGTGAAATATAGGTTGGTGAACAGTCTCTAAATTAGGATGTTTTATTCAGTGGTGTGGATTATTACTTTGGTCGATTTGACTTTTGTCCTGTAAGAAAATTAAAGCTCAGGCACTTCTAAATGTTGTTATATTTCTAAAGATCATCTCTGCGTGCCAGCTTTTGCCTAGAAACTCACCCAAAGATGTCAGCCATTGAAACTATGTCATGTGGAAGCATTGCTAAGTAAATTCACTAAATGCCTATTCATCCCAGGAAGATGGAGAATCACTGGAGCAGCAAATGCGAAAATCTGCACAGCTTACTATACAGAAAGCAGTTTTCTGAGGTTGCCAAATTGAGATGCAGAGTCTGACCCTGGCAGGTATTAAAGCTCACATGAGGGAACATAGAAGCAGGGTCTCAAGCTCCTACAGCCTAGTCGTTCACATTGACTGATAGGCAGATATTTGGGCCAGACAAAATCAGTGGTTAACTTGTTCTTCGTTCATCGGTTCAATAACGAAATGCTACCTGTGATGACAGAAGAATTTGTTATTATGGTATACAAAGATAGTTTACGAGTCTGATCCCATTTCCAAGTTGTTGCAGCGGACCCCAGAGCTTAGAAGCATTTTGTACAGGAATCTTGTTTAACTTGGTTTTCTGTGGCTTGTGGTAATGAAGTGTTTTCAAGATACTGTACTAATGACAGCTGTTTTAGCTTCCGTTTTTCTGCTATCAAATCCAGTGGAGGCCATTGCTCAAATGCTGTTCTATCTTTATTTTAATATTGTGTTTTTGAATGCAAGTCAGTAGATGAAGATCTTTTTAATATGATTTATTCAGTTTTCCCCATTTTTGCCCCATTGTTAAAGAAATAACAGACCACTCAAGCTGTCAAGCATAAATACATTCTTGGACGTGTCAGCTGAAATCTTGAAAATACTGGTGTCAAAGTGCCAGTCATATTAATTGGAATTAGTCTTCTAAATTCCTTCGTTCCTACTAATTTTATTGGGATTTTAACTTCCAAATTCTCTTGCTTTTACGCATTCTAACTTTGGCCTTTTCTCTATAACAAGGACTAAGACAAAGAAAATGCCAACAGATGTTTGAACGAATTCCCTAGGAAAGATCTAGCAAAGCATGTAAAGTGGGACTTTCAATCTAGTCATCCCATGGCTGAATTTTGATACTTAAAAAGCAGTGAGCAGTATCACTTAATGCATGCTCAGTTAAAATTCTTAACACATCCACCAAGATTTGATGTGAAATAATTCATTAAGACATAAAAATGCTGTGTTTCTTTGCATGTACACTTTCCTGAGTAGAGGGAGACAGTAAAGTTGAATAGCATGATGGAAGCTTTTACAGAAACTGCTTCCTCTCCAGAGTCTGCAGATGGTCCCAAATGCATGTAATGGTCCCAAATAAGCATATAACTTACTCTAAAGAGAGTAGCTTTTACAGTATAATTTGTACATCTTTTGTTGTTTCTTTTGCAGGACAAATGACCAGCTAGTCGCGTTCCTGTCCAGGTACCGTGATATGAACTTCTTGAAGTCACATGGGAGGGACAATGCAAGGTAATATGACTCTTTCTTCATGTTATTTTAAATGTGATGCCAAGAGTTTTTGTGTAGTGACTGCTTCTCCGTGTTACTGGGGACAAGGATTTCCTCCTCCAGGGGAAAAAAAAAAAACTGAATGAGAAGGAAACCCTCTCACGAGGACAGCTGTTTTTTGGTCCAGGAAGGCTTCTCCTGACAGTCCGTTTGCAAAGATGGTGGTGTGCGTAGGGAGATGTTAAACAGACTGATACTTACTCCATATTCGGAGTTTATCAATGCTGTTTCAGCAGCTGTACTTAAGGAGGAGGTGAGCGCATGAGGTTTTCTTTTGTTCTCGTCTTGGTTGTTTCCAAACATTCTAAGCAGTTCTTCCATGTGAAGATGATCACTTTCTAACTCATTTATCAGAAATTGGTAGTTTCACAAGCTCTGCCCAGAAAGGCATCTTGAACCATGCTTAAACTCCAGAAACCTTATCATTTCTCAGGGCTGGAAAGAGAGGAGGAGGAATTAGTCCTAAATATCCATTTCAAGTGGCACAGCACCTTGCCGATAAGTCTCACAGAGGTAGTCTGTCAGTGACTGTACAACTTGAAAAGCCTATTTTCAAGTTTCCAGTCTGGCATTCTGCAAACAGTAACTGCCCCTCGCAACAAGAGCTCCGTGCCCTCGTTAGCGCCAGCCGTACCAGAGGCCCACACCTGCGCTAGCTGGAGGCATCAGCAAAGCTCCAGGCAAGCAAAGCATCTCTGCAACCCGAGGGAGCCCATAGCAGCCTGTCCGTGCCAGGGAGGATGAGGATGGTGACTGGAGGGTTGCTCCAGTGTGCTGCAGCTTTTAGAGTCCTTGGATCACCTTCATCCCCCCTGCGTGGGTTGCAGGGTGAAGAGGGTGCTGTGTTTCCCACAGCACATGGGTCACGCTTACAGCTTTGTGCTTTGAGGCAGCAACCAAACATCATGTTTGCAGAGCTTCAAACAGCCTCTGTAGCTGGCAGATCTTTTCCATCTGACTGCAGTAGTCCTCTTTTATCGATGGTTTTGTACCATACCACCAGTCCTGCAGCAGTTCCAGCAACTCCGTATGCTGGGTCCCAGTGGCTTAGCACCTACAGAGGTTGGTTTACTTTGTCTGTTGTCACCCGGTCATCTCTTTATCCTGTAAAATGTCAAGCATACTGCAGGGTTGGATTCAGATAAGTGGTATGGAGACTGTGACACATCAAGTTGCATGTTCAGCCCAGCGGGTAGGTAGAAGAGTGCACAGGTCTCTCTTACTTCTCAGCTGCTCGTGCACTTGTCACTAGATTTATCAATTCTGTCATGCTCCTGTTTAAATGAAGTCCTCTCAAGCATTCATCTTGTGCGTGCAGAAATTCTATAGCAAGTAGTAAAAAATAACAGTGAGGAATGCTATTTAAATCAGAGTCAACAGTTTTCACAAGAGAAATACAGAGTGTCAGAGTGATTGGCAGGCTCAGCTCTAGCTGGCAATAGTGATCGACAGTAGAGTTAAAGTAGAAAAGGAATGAGAAATGGCCAGGGAAAAGCAGCAGGTCTCTTAAGCCTTTTTGCTCTTCTGGTGCACCTGATTCTCCTCAATTCCCTCAGCTGGCTAAGGAAAATAACTAATGAATTATGACATGCATCAAGCTGGTTCTAACATGCCAACCTCAGCTGGGTTAGAACAATTAAGATCAATTAAACGCGCTAATCCGGTATTAATTTAAAAATAAAATGAGCTAATGTGCCACTTGTCCTCTCCTCAGAGGGATAACAACCCATTTATTAGTTCAATGGTTCCCTTTGAATGTATAAACAATTAAAACCCTTTTAGGCTGTTACAACACATAGGCAGGTTTTCTTTTTCTCCCGGAACTCTAATATAGATTCTCTGTGCATCAGGGAACATAACGTAGGACATGAATGGAGATTTGCGATCTCTGTCTGCCATGATCGTGCAGTCTGTGAGTCCCAGAAGCCCTCCTGCTTCGTGCCATCAGGGGAATGGATTCTTCCACATTGCCCCGGCAGCTTCCCAGCTGCCTTCCTACCGAGGAGACCCACTGCTCCGCTCCTCAAGCCATCTCAGATAGCTGTGGAGGCAAGAGGAAAGCCAGCAGTTGCAGAAGCCTCTGAGTAATATTGGCATTTGTTAACAGTTAAATCCATTGGTGTGAAAGCAGTTAGACTTCTGTTTATAACAAGGGGTGAATTTCCAGCTCTACATCCACATGTTGAGAGGGAAATTGTTTAATGTGCAGATCTGGAGCTTGATCTTTCAGTTCTGTTTCAGTAACTCAGTCTTGTCTAAACTGGTAAATGTACCTTCTGCCTTGCCAGTTTGACACATATTTTCCAATTAACGTTCATTTTATTTCCAAAACGTTAAGTTGTGATCATGCTAGTGAGTCAGTGTTCCAGTTATAGCCAGGTACAGAAGGTCTCTGATTAGAGGAAGTGCTTGTGTCTTTTTTGCCTCTCAGTGCAACGGCTAAAAGCATGCAACACAATAGGCATAGTTTTTGCACCAGCTGTATGTTAGAGGCTATAGCTTGACACAGATGTACCATCAAATGGAAATATCAGAAATGTAAAAAGTGACTTCGTTTCTGCTGGCCAAATCTTCAAGTGAAAGTATGGGCAGAAGAGCTATCTCCTAACACAGGAATGCTTTCTGCTCAAATGTTGAAAAAAAAAAAACAAACCTGAACTATACTGGCAGAAGCAAATTGGGAGCAAGACAACCCTTCTTGGCAGAGTCACCCCATTCCTTTCTTTCCCCACCCCAACCATGCTTTGGGCACCAGAACACTACCTGCTTCTTTACAGGGAAATACTCCCTGAAAGCAGAAAGTTTTATGCCTGTAGTTATGAATTATGAAACCCTTTGGGCTGAAATACCTTACATAAGAATGGCCAGATGAGATGAGACCAAAGGCCCATCCAGGCTGATGTCCCGTCTCCTGTTGCCTACAGCAGACACCCGCAGAGGAGCAAAGAACAGGCAGGCCGGTAGTAGTGCTTCCTTACAATATTTTTTGGGCTTCCTGTGATCTTTACCTGGGGAATTTCCACCACCAAACTTTGTTACTTTCTCATTAAGAGTCGGGGATGATTTTTTCTTCTACTAATTTGTCCAATTACTTTTCAGGTTTTACTGTTCACTTTGCCTTGGTCACAACCCTGTGGAAAGCAAGTATCCCATGGGGGGAGTGGTATGACCAGGGGGTTAGTAAGGTCTAGAAGAAAAGCAGTAGCCTCAAGGTTTGGCAATAAAAATTAAGGGGAGGAAAAAAAAGACAGCTTTTGGAAAGGATTTGGGACCCAGGCCAACCTCCAAGTTATTGAGCAATAGGAGAAAACTTTCCCTGTGGACATGCTATCTCAAAACAGCCTTGAACAGGATTTTTTATTTAAAAGGGCTAGTTGAGGCCATGACAGAGGGGGAGGACACGGACTAGACTAAGCACTGCCCCATGTACAACAGTAATTTCTTTGTTCCAAGATGTTTTCTCAAAATATGTCGAACTAATAATACAGGAGTTCAGCATTTAAAAAACACTGAAAGCAATGTATAACCCTTTCAGCTACTTTTTATTTAATTCATGGATGAATAATGGCTCCTAAACAATACGCTGTTCAGCTGTCTAAGTCTGCTCTGTAAACATCTGCATACTCTCTGAATTTTAAGTCGTCATAGTCTTTGGATTGTACAACAGAGAGAAAAAGATTAAAAGTGCCATCTTAAAACTGAAATGCTTATACAGCTCAATTACAATGTACTTGGTATTCAAGCCCTGTTCACAATCAGTACATGTTTTAGTGCCAAATAAGGAGAGAAACCAGACTTCCTTTTATAGAATGAAGTTTTCTTTTAGTTATGCCAAAGTCATTAAAAAGTGCATCACTGATTTTCCTTTAGTGGCTTCGAAAAAGGGAATGGAGGTGAAAATGACTCCTTAACTCAGCTGGAGAAGCATTATTTCCCTAGAGAGCTGGATGTATGAAATGAAGTTGCATACAGTGGCTGGAGTCGTTACGTAGCGCTTAGTGGGCAACACTTACATTTTCTCCTCTTTTCACCATCTTAAGACTATTAAAAGCAAAAGAACAACCCTGTAGTTGTATAAGCTATTACAATTTCGAGCGCCTGGAAGATTTGTTTTTTTTGGCAGGAACAGCACCTGGCTGGTGTGTTATAAAATATAAAGACAGTCAAATATGACATCTTCAGTGACAGGCAGGGAAAAGACTTTTTTTAGAAACCTTGCCACAGTAGTCGTTTGGGAAACGGCGAAAACATGCTGTGAAGGCTGGGGGCTGTTAAATCTTTGAGGAATCTGGAACTCATAGGCAGCATACGAACGGCTCACAAAAAAGCCATTAACGTTTTGTTATGTATCTGGGTTCTTTTCTTGTGCTTTTTTCTGTTTGCTTGTTTTCTCCTCATTAATGCTGTTCTTGCCAGTGGTTTTGGCCCCTTTCTGGATTGTGGGCTCTGGACTGTGTTTGAGCTGTTTCGCCGAGCTGTATGGCTTTGGTAAGGAGCACCGCAAGCCCGTCGCAGCTCTCGGCAGCTAGGGAGGCCCCGCTTTGTGAGGGACCTGCCGACATGCTCCACACCTCCACCTCCTCAGGCCGGCTCTGCTGACCCGTGTGTGTTTGCACCACCCTTTCAGACATGGCTTTTTCTCCAGCGTGGCGCATGCTGTTTGTTGCCCTTCTGTGCACTGGGTTAATCACAGTTTCGTGGTCTGTTAGAAAATGGATCCCACAGTAAATGCTACTGTGTATTGCTGCGTTGATGAATCACCCATTAAGTACCTAAATACTAGAATAAAATTTAATGTTATCCCTGCCGTCAGCATAGTTTAACCCCTTAGCTCCCAGCAGTGCTTACCTTCCTGCTCATGCTAAATATTTGGTGGTTCATTTGGCTGAAATTTCACTTTCCTATATTTTTTTGTTAATTTTTTAAAACACATCAGTGTTCTGAAGCACACGGACTGGGAA